GATATGACAGAATTTTGTTACTTGCACTTGATACATAAAAACCCTTAGCACAGGGGAGTTGTTTCTAAACTTCTTTGACTTAATGCTGTCTCTCAATTTTCTGATTTTCACTGTTATTTAAAAAAAAAAACAGTGTTGGCGAAGAACTACTAGTCATATAGTAAAAAACATGGGAGTAACTGGGTAACATATGGGAGTAACTGAAATACTGTAGAATACTTTATTTTCGCTTAGAATTTATTTTCGCTGGTTTCGCTGAAGGGATGATTCCGTGAAAATAAAATCCAGCGAATATACTCTTTTTCCTATATTTCACATTAAACTCATCAAAAATCAGTGAAAATAAATTTCATACAAAACGCCCAAAATGCCTTTTCAATGAAAATGTGATAGAGGAAGTTCATGTCCAGGGAATCTCTTGTATTGTTAGTTTATGTCATACCAGTTCGGCATTGACAGAGCCCAGCTGGAAACCATACACTTTGATTTTGTTCACGAATTCCCAAATAAATAAGATGAGTAATTTTATTTTCTTATCTCGTTGCAGGCCATTATATTTTTGATATTGATAATGGTATTGGTATATCCCATCCAACTGTACACTTTACACTTCTGTTCAATACTTTTGTAATGATGCAATTATTTAATGAAGTGAATGCAAGGAAAATACATGACGAACGGAATGTCTTTAAAGGTTTACACAACAATCCTATCTTTTTGGTTATCCTTTTCGGAACGTTTGCTGTTCAGGTGAGTATCGGTCCTGTTTCACATAATTTTAATATCTCTTAAATTTTACAATGACATTTGTGATATGACATTCAGAGGCATTCAGGATATTCATTTAGAGGAGGCGCATCATTACAATGATGTCATTGCCACAATGCATTGTGGACTATATGTATAAGAGTAACTATGGGTTCAGAGGGGATGCATGTCCACTGTGCTCCCCTCTAAATCTCCCCTGACATTGACTTGTTATAGGAAACATCAATCAAAACAACATAATGACCCCTAAAGAGAAAGCTCCACAAATGTAGGAGAATGCAATTTACAGTTTTTTTTATATCACTTTTAATTCTCTAATCATTTTCTCAATTTCTGACAACAGCTTCTATGATGTCATATTTTACCCATAATCCTTTGTTTGAAAATCAAGATGGCTGACTACATAATACTGATGAAAAAATTGAATATCTAGAGAATAAAAAGTGATATAAAAGAACTGTAAATTGCATTCTCCTACATTTGTGGACCTTATTCTTTAGAGATTATTATATTGTTTGGATTGATGTTTCCTATAAATGAGAGATAATAGCTTGAGTTATTGGTAATATGTACATGTTGAATGACACCATTGCAAAATTAAATTCTCTAACACACTTTTTTTTTTACACCCTATAGATAGTTCTCATTGAAGTTGGAGGTATTGTGTTCCATACGGTTCCTCTGACTGCTGATCAGTGGATGTGGTGCATTTTTCTAGGCTGTGGGGAGTTGCTATGGGCCCAGTTGATGTGTACAATACCTACAGCTAAGCTTCCCCGTATCTGTAGTTATGGTAGTGGGGACGCTGCTGAAGAAGTGCCAAGCATTACTGAAGCCGATGATGGCGATTCCAAGATTGAGATGAAGAGAGCTCAAATCTTGTGGATGAGAGGATTGACACGATTACAGCAACAAGTAAGTAGCTGCCCTCTAGTGGCAGCATCTTGTGCATTTATTTACCTTTTCACCACTAGACTTTCTCACCCAAATTTTTCTGCACTTTTTTCTCATATTCTTCAATATTTCTGGGAATGAACCCTAATTTTTGAACCAGCATGCAAAATTTGGATCAATTTTTAGTTTTTACTAAAAAAAATGTGGCTATTTTTGTCTCAATCTTTTGAAGGAGAGTGACTATTTTGTGAATTTGTGGTGAAAAGAGAGAACTGGTGGTAAAAACGTTAATGTGTGTCTTCACAACTGATTTATTTACGAATTAGCCTATCAGTGTATATTAGTGTTTATTTACTAATTAGCCTAATTAGTGTATCAGTCGTCAAATTATATGGTTGTGGTTGTTATAGCCACTGGGTTTTTTTCAACATGTTTTATCTGAAACAAGATGTGTGGAGGGCGTACTTCAATCATGTGTGAGATTTTGTTTTTTGACAAGTTTAGTGACCTGTGGATCTGGGCAACTCTCTTTAAAACAAGACTAGACACTTTGGTTGCTTTTCTGAGAATGTTGAAGGTAAAAAGCCTGACAAATATGTGTGTGTGTTTTTTTTACATGGGCCAACATGCGTTTTTCTGACCAGTATTCTATTACAGACATGTGTTTTCAGCAAATTAAAACAATATTTTGATCTTTGTTTTTTTTTTGGAGAATTTAACCAAAATGCTAACATTGTTGTCTATGGAAATCTAATTAGTATCTGCCATCTTGTGGTCCACCAC